TAAATAACTATTTGCACAAAGCAGAATGCAATTTAAAAAGTCGTTGCAGAAACCTTTGGGCCCAAACGAAACCTTGGTTTCTGGTGGGCGGAAAGGGAAATATAAATTGTTTGTTCTTATTTCTCACAAAGAAAAAGAAAATTGAAATGGCAGCTGTGCATTTCAGAAGTTTTCCCTTTGCCACAGAAATGCCTCCGCTGTAAGGACAAGTAAAAACCCTGAGCCTGTGTGATGGCAAAACATCACAAAGGCTGGAAAGGAAAGGTTAAAACAAAATGAAAGCACGTCCGTGAATTTACCTTTAGACCACTGGGCAGTTGGAAATCTAGAGAAGCTCAGCTGATGAAAAACTGCAGAGAAAATCTGTTAGCATCGTCTCAGCATCTGTCTTTGTCAGAGTGACTGGAAACAAGAGACAGGTGGGAAAAATTAAGAAACTGAAGAGGTAGAACGATAAACACAGGAGGTAATACTACAGGAGACACACAAGCAAAGCTGGTAACCAAAATTGAGAAGGCCAAGAGAATCCAACAGAGAAAAGAAGAGACAGAAGAATAAGAGAGAGCCAAGGAATCACAATGTAAAAACTAAGCAAGGTTGGCAGAGACTCTTTTGAAGCCTGAAGCTGAGACCATTTTTAAACTGCATTATTTTCTTAACTACAGACGACTGCTTTTTGACTCCCGTAAGGACCAGAATTTACCATAAATGACTCACCAAACAAAAAAAGTAAGGGCCAATGACTTCCTTTAAACCAGTGGATTTGACTCTAGTGGGGAAAAATGGAAGTTTTAATTGTGTCTGCAGTGGCTTCAATGTTCAGACCGGAATTTTTTTAAATGCAGTGATTTTCTTGTTAGCTTGTTGGTGGCATGTTGTTATTGGCATTGTTGACTCGCAGTAAAAACTACAAATTTTCATGTAAATTGTTTTGCCTGGTGCAAAAAATTAGCAAGTACAACCACATGGATAAAGTGGAGTAATTTAAAATAAAACATTGAGTTGAAGGATGAGAAGAACCAGTGATTGACGATATGCAAAAATCATTTACAACGACCTCTAGCCAACAACTGTTTCTAAAACTCTGAACAGAGGTATTTGGAAATGCTCTTAAAAAATATCCTTACCTAAATATAGATTCAACTTAGCTTGTTGTACCTTTTCATAATCAGTAATGTCTGTGTAGGCGTATGATTGTGATTGGGGGATACATGGAGAAGGTTCAGTTTAGGAATGAACAAATGAAAGTGAGCTGGTATATTTTTAATCTTAAGGACTGTGAACTCTGGAATAACATTTAGATCATGTGAACATAAAAATTCTAGACTTAGTTATGGCTAATCTAGAAGGTCTTACAGACACTTTAAAAAACAGAAGTACAGTGAATAATGTTAACCATAAAGCAAAACTAACTTCTCATAACTATGAGGCTTTAGGGGGGTTTTCAAAGTTAGCACATAACCATGAAATTCTTCCACAGCTAAACCTGAAGGAGACACAATTGCGGTATCTGTCTTCGGTTTGCTTCAAGGTTGGAAATATTTC